TCATCTTCACTCTTTCTCTCTCTGATTTTGATTTCAAAATTTGAAACTCCATTCTCTCGCATACCTCTTCCTCTTCTCCTTCCTCTTCCCACCACACATCTTCCTCTTTCCACCAAGCTCTCTCTCTACAAGTTTGATCTCCTATGGTGATTTCCGGACTATAGCCCCGGTGGTGATTTCTACTATCTGCCTCAATCTCTGCCTCCTCTCTCTCTACACAGCTCCAAGGTAGAAGCTATCCTCCCTGTTTTTTTCTTTTTCTTTTTTTTTTGGGAAGAATCTAGGGTTTTTATTTGGGTTTTGGATTTTGATATGATAATCAATCTTTGCCTCCTCTCTCTCACTTTTTCCCCCCTTTTTTTTATTTGGGTTTGTTTTTCTATTTTTATTTTTATTTTTATTTGTTTGTTTGTTATCAGCATAGAAATATTTCGGTGCTGTTTGGTTGTCGAGAAAGTGGCAACAACAGTAAAGAAAATGAAATTTCTGGGACAAGTGCTGATGTTGTTATTTTATCTTAATTGCTATAAAATTGTTGGTTATCTTCTTGATCATTAGTTTTGGTTAGGTCACTAATTGCAAATTTTGCTAGAAAGTTGTGGCGGTTCTTTTTAACAGTCAAAATTTGGATGTTCTGTAAAATGCCTCAATGAAAATAGTTTATTTTCTTTTGGTTAAACCAACTGCTTATATAATTATACTTTTTTGTTGTTCAAATAGTGAGTGAATCTATCATGACATGCCAAGTAAATGATTAAACAACCTTTTCTATAGAGAGTTTGATTAACAGTGCTTGAATGCACTTAGTGCTGGTAATGTGGATGTCCTAATTGATCAAAGTTATCTTAGTGAGTGAATCTATCATTTTCTACATTTCCCCCCCAAATAGTGAATGATACATGCCTTGGATATTTGGTAAAGTTAACAAAAATAGAGGTATATTCAAATTGGTGAATTAAACAGTGGGAGTTGGATCTTATTTTTAATAACAAACAGTGGCAATTTTTAGGGAGTCGATTTTGGATAATGGATAATGGAGCTTGCTTACCTATATTTTCTATTCTTCCTTTTGCTTCAGGCACATATGCCTTGGCGAAGGAGCGTTTGATTAGCTCATAAAAAGTTGTTATGGCTTTGTTTGCTACAATGGTTGATTAGGTAATTTGTTTCTTATCTATTGTTCAACTTGGCTTCATTTTACATGTTGTGAAAATTAAGAATCTTAAATTTTTACATGTTGTGAATCTTAAATTTAAAATTAAGAATCTTAATTTTGTTCAACTAGGTTCAGAACCAAGAATAGCGAGTACTTGATTTTTTTATGGTGATAACTTGGGTCTTCTATTTTAATTTTTGAATTTCATACAATTTTTATAATAATCATTGTGATAATTTTAGAATGCCTTTATGTTTGATTTTATTGTTTTTCAAAAACAAGATGTTTTACTTTGTTTTGATTAGACTTGAAAAATTCAAGTTATACAATAAATGGAAGTGTTGTGTGGGTCTATTAGTGAATGTTTTAAGAAATGGAGAGCAATAAGTGAGTCTTTTTCTTTTCTTTTTTTTTTTCACAATTTTGGATCTTTGTTTGGAAAACTAGAAGTTTATTTATTGAATTTTTTTTTTTGGGGGTGGAAGAGAAATAACTTTGTATATTCTTTTTTGGAGGAGTTTCAAGAAATAACTTTGCCTATTACTTTTTTCACACCCTATAACTCTACCAGTGCTTATAACCAATTAAAATTTTCATTCTAAAATTTAGACACTATAGGCACAATTGTATATTCATTTTAAAATAGATGTGAGCTTTTTTTTTCCTTCACAATTTTGGATCTTTGTTTGGGGAACTAGAAGTTTATTTATTGAGTTTCTTTTTTGGGGGTGGAAGAAAAATTTATTTGTATATTCTTTTTTGGAGGAGTTTCAAGAAATAACTTTGCCTATTACTTTTTTCACACCCTATAACTCTACCAGTGCTTATAATCAATTAAAAATTTAGACACTGTAGGCACAATTGTATATTCATTTTAAAATAGATGTGACAAACAAAGGTGATTATAATAAATTAAAATTTTGATTGGATGGGTTAGAGTCAATTTTTTTTTTCTTCTTCCCTTTACCCCTGTGACTCTTAACTCAATATATTTTAGTTTTATTGGGTGAAAATAATCTATTATTTTTTACAGGAGCTAAGCCTATTCTTTCATTTCTTCATTTTTTTTTCTTTTTCTTTCTTCTTCTTCTCCTCCTATTTTTTTATTTTACTTTCAGAGTGAGGATTGTAAGCTGTGATAAAAAAAAAAAAATTATTCTTTCAGCTTTGCCAGTTATTTTGTAAGAATATTAATAATGCTGAGATTGGCTCAATGAGATCTAGAAAGAATTTGAAAAAAGAAAATAGTAAAGAGGTCTAGAGTAACAAGAGCCAGTTTTAAGCCAATTGGCATTTCTTTTTTTCTTCAAATATTTGGTTTTGGAACTAAATTAATTCAATAGACCATCTATGTTATTAGTTAGTCATCTTGGAGTAATGAGTGATGGCATAAACTTACTTTATGCTTGAAGTAGTTTAAACCTGCGTTATACTTTTAATTGGATGACTATGCATAATGGTACCTCATAAGTGAAGAAGAAGGTGGTTTCACTTTCAACCCTTAATGTTGGTGAAGTACCCTCTTAAATGTTGTAGGCAAATTCTTGGTGATTGATGGCTTCTTCTTTTTTGTTTCAGCTATTCACTTTGTATTTATTTATTTTATTTTATTTTTTGTGTTGAAAAAATAAAGTTCTCTGAAAATGATCTACTTGGATATTTGAGGTTCAATAGATGGATGGTAGCTTCCTTTTAATTAGTTCCAATTCATGTCTTATTCTTTCTCATGCGTGTTGTTGTATGTGTGTTCTTTTTATAGTTATGTTGTTGTATGCATTTTTTTTTGTCCACATTTTTTTTGTGTTTATTTAACATAATTGTTGTACCAAAGTTTCAAGCACAAAAGCACATCATACTACAAACAGTTTTTCGATGTTAGTTTTAGTGATATGTTGAATTATGTGAAAGTAATTAGAATTATATTTTTGTGATGGATAGTTCAAACTTTGTATGTGTTGTGATATTATTTTTAGGTATGGGTCATTGGTTAACCTCCCTTCTCTCTCTAATAGCAAGAGATCATGTTCGCATTTTTTATTCCTTATATTTTTGACTTTTCTCTATCCTCACTTAATAACCAGCATGCTATCAATCACTTTTCTCTAGCCTTAGTGTTTTTTTTTAATTAAAAAATTGCTGAAATTTTGGGAAATTTTGGTTGATTTTCATATGGGTTACAATATTGTTAATGAATTTTTCCATATGGATTTTTCATGTGAGCATGGACATACTTTTGTCGTTTCATATTTGATGTATTATATGTAAATTCGAGGCAAGGACTTGATGTGTAAACGAGTTAGTACTCTTATATTGTAACCAAATGTTCACTTGGAAAGCTGTAAGCCTGTAGGGCATTTTGCTTTTGTTGTTAGCATGTAATGCTTCTGTAATGAAACTCTGATAAATAGAAGAATGTGGTTATTTCATATGTTAATGAATGTCTTATTTGATGGGTTTAATGCCGTTATTTTGAGGGCGTTACACGTGTCGACACAGGTACTTCGCCCCAAAGTGCCGAGTCCGTGTAACATAGCGGGTAATTGTGCTGCCATAGATAGAAGGGCACACAAATGGCCAGTTACAATGTTTGAAACCAAAGACCTAGGCAGCTAGATTGACAACGTGTGTTGTCTAAAGATTCATAATAATGTAAAGGATCATTCAATGTTCATAGTATGTTGATAAAACAGAAATTATTTTTGAGATAATAACATCCTACTATGTGCAAAAGAATTATTAAAAAAGGTAGGAAAAGCGGGCATATCAATTATTCTCAGAAAATAAAACAGGAATCAAGAATAGCATGGTATGAAAATTAGACCCCTAAATATAAGCATGGCATTGCCAAAAACATCACCACTGCAAATTCCATTATTCATAATAAAAATTGAAACCTAAGGAACATAGTCATTTCTAAGAAGGAGGCATGTTCATATTGTGTCTGTGTCGCAGACACTCACCAGACACCTCCTGACATGTGTCCAAACTCGTCAAATTTTGTCCTACTTTTTAAATTTTTTTTTTAGACCTCGACAAGCTTTAGACACTTGGATTGGAGGATGCACGTGTCCCTTGCTTAAACCCACTCGAAACTAATTATAAGTTTGAACAAAATAACTTACGATACACTGATAAAAGAAAAACAAAATACATTTAGAAGAATTAGTGTATGTCATATTTATTTATCATTTTTGAATGATATATTCATATATATAACATATAATAAATATATATATCATATGCTTTTTGTGTCCCTCACTTATCGTGTCATGCATTTTTTAAAATCAGTATGTCCATGTTGTATCTATGTTGCATGTGTAAACATAACATGTGTTGTGTGGAGCAATTGGAAACAAACCATTCATTTGGATTATAGGTTTTCAGATTGCAATATACCAGAACAACCAAAAAGTAACACGTGATTCACCAGTTAAAACTTGACATATATGAACTATTTATAAGCAATATTTCCTACAAGTATGGAAATCAGTTTCACATTGTCCAACCAAAATCTAGGCCAAATTCTGCATTAAAATCTCTCTATATCAAATAATACCTTTCTAGACGCAAGCTTCTAAACAAGAGTGCTGATAATCTATTCTCACCATTATGAAACATGAAACAACCATCATGGGTGTCCAACATAGCAGAAATTGAAAAATAAAGCATTGGTTTCACATTATAGATGAACAAATTAAGAGTAAACTTTCCTACTATGAATTACGAAAAGCTATGAGTTATGAATCGATAAATTTAAGAATTAAACAATTTTGAACATTCAATGGTTATTGATGTTTGCATAATTGTGAACTAATACAAAATATACTTAATCATGCCCAATGACCTGTTTGCATATGAATGGAAATGATCATCTATAGGTTCCCCCTTCTTCATTGTAGCTTTGTTTGAAGCTGAACAACATAATAGCATATGAAAAGAACATTAGGTGATAAAAGTTAAAATTAGTGCAAAGTTAGAATATGTTCATTAAGATCTTTTTTTTCATTAATAAATTACAATTGGATATAGAAAATTTTAACCACTTAATACAAAAAAAAATTCTTTACAGCTCAGCACATTCAAGGTTCATGGGTAGAGGAATATGCCTTACATCAAAACAACTAAAAACTAGTACATCAGAAGTCGCATTATAATGAAGTTGGTAATCACTAATGGTAGTCATACTATTGTTCTTGCTATATATATAATTTGCATGCAATTGATATCTTAAATATCTCTACTCTTTGCACTCTGCCCATTTGGCTTTATACCAAAAGGAAAAAGTTAGTTGTTCATGCATTTCTCAAAACTTGCATTTGATATGTTCATCACAAAGTAACTTGGTCCAAACAGTCATTGTCAAGCCACTGCTACCAAGCCTCCTATAAATATTGGATAAGTGTGACAACTGGACAATGATAGTAGTTTGATCACATGGATTTAAGTACAAATATTGGGTGTGGGTGCGGAGGTGTGTCCGAGGGTTAATACTTCCCTAAACCCTAAGTCTTAAGATATAGGCTTATGCATCTATTTATAGATTTTTAGGCAACCTTTGGGCAACAGACATAACTCTTACATAGAGTCGTATCATCTCTTGTAACAGGTTGTTTGTGTCTATTGTGTTTGTGTTTGAATTTAACTAAACTCAAATACCAGACAAAGCCTACGTGGGAAGTTTCTCACCATCCCAAGGGTAGTGATAGGATGTAGGAGGGTGCACCATTCCGGTGTGATCACTTGTATTCTATTAGCATGGACATGTCCTAAACATTTAATTATACTGTAATGGTATAATATTATGACAAAAGACACAATTATTATTTAGGAGTCTACTTACAATTAAATGGAATTTTGTGGGGAAATTCTTCCATCCATACAAGATGTTAGAAAATTTTCTTTACTTTCAAATGTGAGCTTCTACTTCTTTTTTAAAAATCATAAAAAATAATAGCAATTCTTTACGATAATGGAGGGCTGATCACATCCAATTTCAAGGTTCCAAAACAAAAGCAAATATCAATGAACATGAACTAAGATAATGAAAAAGAACATGACCATCTTCATTATCAGAGAAGGGGAAAAAAAAAAAGTGCCATCTTTATTTATCAAAAGAAAAAAAAGAGTACACCATTACATATAATAAACTGCAAAAGAAAGATCGTAATGGTTGTCCTGGGTTTTCATTAGTCATCAAGGCAGTCTCTTCAACACATGGAACTTGTGCAATTTTTTATTTTCATACCCAATATTAACAGTCTTTCCACGAAGGAAAGAAATTCAAAGAATTAGTTGACAGTCACTGCAAAAGCGTCCTGCCGAAGTCAACAGAAAAGTACCCAACGGAGACTACTAAATTTACAGTAATCTAATTCCTATACTAAATAGTAAGGCAAGTTCTTCATATGCATATGGTCTTAACCTTCAGTCTACCAGTTCTGCAAACAAGTCCAAAGAGATGTCATTTACAAGAGGCTTCAACCTATCTGTTCTACAACAGATTCCAAAAGTAAGCAGAGGGTGACTGTTAACACTTTAATTGCAACAACAATCATTCTTCCACTTCGCATCAAGCCAAGATACAAAAATAAACAGAACCAAAATTTACAGAGGTCACCCAACATCAGTAAGGAAGTCTAAAGTTCTACCATTCACCACACTATACAGTGTATACACCATCAAACAACAAAGTAAAAATTTTGTTTTTTCAAAGATACTGCGTAATTATGATTCATCATCATAAAAGGAGGTTATGAGCTCATATTTTCGTTCAATAGATTCTTTGGGAAGCTTCTTTGTACCCTTGTTTCTTTCAATTAAGAGCCACAAGAGGCAATACTAGCACAATCCAGCAAAAAAGCATGCTTACTAACAAAAACGAAATCGAATATATGAAAAATTCCTACAACTCACACGGTTCCTTTTGGTGGACTAAATATTGAAATTAAATGCAACAAAAGACCCATTTTGAGAAACAAATCCCACATCCACTGGGGCTAGCCAAAATTAAATGCAACAAAACTTTGACTAATATTATTGTTTTTTACCATACATCTATCCCCAAAATCAGAACTTCACCTACATTGACGAGCCAAAAACAGAGCCATGTATGCATAAGCTAAAACCCACATCATATAAACAACAATCGAAGCAAATTTGTATAAAAAAGAGAGAGAAAAATTAGGGGTTTCATGATAAAAATATGATTTGTAGTTTGCAAAACTAGTAATTAATGCCTATAACATCTATATAATAAGGGAGGAAGGATTTTGAAAATGTATAAAATGTATGTGAGATACATTTTAATTTGATGGCTGAGATTAATCCCACGTTTATATCAACCGTTCAGATCAATAGATCTCCCACCCCCAACAAGTCTTTGCTCTCTCTCCCACGTCTAGCTAAACACATCTGCTGCTCTACAGATTCTCTCTCATCCTCCTCATCCCCTATGAAGCACGGATACTCCAAAATAGGCCACGTATGCGTATCGGATATGTATCGGATACGGATACGCGCCCGATAATATTATTTACACCGTGTCTTTAGGCACGGGCATACGCTAGTTATAGATATATCGGATATAAACTGATTACCAGAACGAACACCATCGACTTTAGATGATTTGAGGGGTTTTGATTTTCTCTTCGACACTCGAGGCATTGTTTGTGTCCTCTTTTTTCAAGATCGAACAGAATCTGACATATCAACCCAAAAAAAGCTTTTGAGAGAGGGGGTTTAGGGGTTTTGCTATGCTAGGACAAGAGAATGGCTGCGTGTTTTTATATTATAAAATAATATAGAAGGTTACGTGCACGTGCTATTAACTTGGCACTTTATGCACTTTATACCGTGGGTGATTCGCGGATATTTTTATCCGCCTAAATCGATTGAGCTGAATTGTTTGGTCCCATTTTAAATGGATGTGTGATAACAAAAAGACAATTGAGAATAAATTTTTTTTAATTCATCTAATTTTAGACGGATGACAGATTTGAAATTTTTTTGAGCAGAATTGAACCATCAAATCGCAAGCACCCATAGTAATTTGTAAAATTTTGTGTTTTTAATTTGTTTAGATAGTCTGTTTATGTTTTCAATTGAAAAATAGTTTAGACATTTTATCGTGTTTTTAATTTGAAAATTCTTTTATCAAATGATAAATGTTAATATTTAATATTTTTGCGTGGAAAATGTAAAGCTTAGTTTGTTATTTTTAAAAAAAGTTAAATTAAATAGTTTTTGAATAAAAAAACATAATGAAATAATTTTGATAATACATGGTTTTCTCAAATGTATTTATTATTGGTATATAACAATTTACTTGATAATCGTTTAGTTATGTTGAGTTAGATTGTTATGACAAGTTGCATTATGTTCAAAATTTGTAAAATTTAAACCGCTAAATCGATTCGCATCCATCCGTCAATCCTTCAATTCGCTCAATCTACATCCGCCAATTCGGTAGACGAATGCGGATTGATTTTTTTCAATCCGCCAATCCGATGGACGAATGGTGAATTGGAGGTTTTCCGGCCGCAATCAAACCGCGAGCACCCCAACTTTATACTTTAGGCGTGTGTATATATGCACTTTATAATTAACATAATTTTAATTTTTTGAGTGATAATTAAAAATATCATAATAGAAATTAAACACAGCATAACATATAACTAAAGAATTTATGGATTATAATTAAAATAATATCATAATTAAATTAAAAAAACTAGAAAATAACATAATTAGAGGGGCACATGGTGCGCCTTTTTCAAAAGATTGTGTATTAGAATTTCCCTACGCATTAGAATTTCCTTACAAAAATAAATAATAAAATAAAATAAAATTATTTAGACATTGGGATTGCCCCAAGTGGAATACACACTACTTGTATAGTTGTAATCTACTTTTATTAATACACTAACTGCTATCTTGTGATAAATAAATAAATAAATAAATAAAATCTATACAAAATTAAATAATATTTTTTAAAAAAAAAGTACAGAAAATAAAAAAATCATATGGCCTATTATAATCCAATCTATTTTTTTTTTTTTTCAAAAAAAAGAGCCTATTATTTTAAGAGGGAACAACTTCTCTTCGGTTCAAAGTTCATTTCACTCTTATCCGCCTTGATTACTTGAACTGTTTATCTTATGACACATGACAATCATATTATTTATATCAAAAATCAAGTTGATCATACATTAAATAGTCATTTGATTGAATTACATTTATTTGAGAAAAAAAATAAATTCATGAATTGTCTTTACGTAGTTATTTCTAAATGATAAAAAAATAATCCACACATAAAACAAATCATCGGAGATTAATAAAATTTACCTTATCTTGTATTCATCAAAAGTAGGGTTCTCTTACCTATTTTAATTTCCATTTTAGAATTTTTCAATGACTTATAATTAAAAACATAGCTTGTTTGGTTTGGATTTTAGGATTCACTTTTCAAAAAATTAAAATTTTTTGTTTTTTGATTTTTTTTATTTTCTCTGAATTTTTTTAATTTTTAGATACTCCTAACATAAATATAATTAAAAAGTATAATATTTGTGAAAAAAAAAGAAAATTCACTAAATATCAAAAATATAAAAATTCAATACATTTTTCGTATTCTTGTGTATTTATTGATTTTTTAAAATATTTTCTTACAAATATTTTACTTTTAAGATATATCTAAGTAAGGTGCATATAAAAAAAAGTAAAAAAAAAAATTGTTTGAAATTTTAAAAGTATTCATTAAAAATAAAAATAAAAACAAAAAATTCAATTTCTAAAAAATTAAAACCAAACACACTAAATGTTACTCTACCTCCATGATTTTATGTGTGCTCTACTGTAACGCCCTCAAAATAATAACATTAAACCCATCAAATAAGACATGCATTTACATTTAAACTAACCGCATTCCTTTATTCATTAGAATTCCATTACATAAGTATTACATGATAACATCATAAACAAAATGCCCTACGGGCTTACATCTTTCCAAGTTAACACTTGGTTACAACAAAAGAGTACTAACTCGTTTACACATTAAGCCCTAGGCTTGAAGTTACATGTAATACATCAAAAGTTGAGCAACAAAGTATGCCCGCCACTAGCCTCCCAGCTATGTCCTTGGAGGTGGCATGCTACCTGCACCTGAAAATGATATTCCCATATAGGGTGAGCCACAGCCCAGTAAAAATACACTAAACCAACCATGGACAATGACTAAAATATTAGCAATTGATAGATGGTCAACACTGATACATGCACATAAATTACACATTTATGTCAAACGACTTACAAGTCTCAATTACTTTTCTTTTCCCCTTTTTCAACAGATAGGCATATAAGCACTACCCACATGCTCGACAGATATGTATAACAACAATATCCACATTCTCATATAAGCAAATAAGCTATATACACATTCTATAACAGATATGTATAACAACAATATCCACAGATATGCATATGAGCTATATCCACACATCACAAAGATAAGCATATAAGCCCTATCTTCACTTCTCTAGACAAGCATATGAGCTGTGTCTACGGAGTTCATCCCCTATCCTCTCCCAATACTTATCCGGTTTAGAGGTACATCCCCTATCTTCCCCTAAACCGCGGAGTACATCCCCTATCTCCTCCTCTACACATAACGTATATAAACACATTGGTTCTATATACAATCACTCAATACATACAATTAATGTTTTTTATCAACCGTCAAGTTCCATGACACATTCCATTGATTAGTTTCAGTTTACCTAATCATCATGCATTGTCTACAACAATCACGACTATCCTCCACCGATAGCCCAAAGCAGTTATTTCTAAAACAGAAAATAAATGCACAAATGGATATTCAATCAACATTTCAATTCCTCATTTCTCACCAATTAATTATCCCAATTAATTAAACAATGTAATTAGGCCATTTTCCATAATTACCATTTCAAATCGAACTGACAAGCCCTGCTGATTAAGCCGGCTAAACTGATCCCTCAGCTTCTCCCTAGCTGCTGCAGACAAAAACCTCTCCTGAAAAGCATTCACAAACGCCTCCCAAGTACCACCAACACGAGCTTTCTCGTACTTCCACCATTGACCCGCATCTCCCTTCAGTTGGAAGGATGCCAAGGTCACCAATCAACTGCCCGATACCCGTCACTTCCACAATTGAAGCATTTGCCATCGAACCTAAAGTAGGCTCCTTTGGTTTGTAGGCTGGCCTTTTGGAGATTTCTCCTCTAGCCCCCAA